CTCCTTGATGACATCTTATATCCTCAAAGTTTTAAGAACTGTTCTTCCAATACGAATGAAAGAGGGTCACTTTAGTTTCCTTTTCTAGTGAAATTGAACACAATAAGGCTCATAATTTCTTCTGTGAACTGTTGATCTTTTTTTTTCTCTGTTTCTGTTGCTCATTTATCTTTCCCTCAATCTACAGGTTCTTCATGTATTGTGAATAAGCCTCTGTCTGGCAGGCTGGCTGCAATTCTCCAATCTTGACTTTGTTTATTTTGAGTTTCATAATCAGCAGTTGTGTTTATTATGTCAATCTATGATGCTTCTCTATAATAACCTCTAGGTTTATTCTTTTGGTTAGGTTTTTTTCCTATCCTATAGTGTAAAAAATATTTGCTTGTTTTCTTTCTGTTTTATACAGGTTCTTTATTTAAGTTATTGCCTGTGTTACATCATTTAAGCATTAGTAATCCAATTTGCACTTGAGAAAATAGAGACAAGGGAAAGTTAAATAACTTCTCCAAGGTCACAGAGCTAATAACAGGAAGGCAGCATTTGAAAACATGTCACTTGACCCTGGGGTACAGATGGAGGAGACCAGGCCTATCTAGTCTGCACTTTTCTCTGGACTCTGCCTGTGCTTTGAAGATAGTGGGGGACAGGTTCCTGTGTGCATCCAAGCCAGGTTCTTTTTTGTCTCCGGTCTCATCCATTGTACCCCAGACCTGGACTTCCTTTCTCCCTCCTCCTTCCTCCTCCCTTTCTTATCTCTAGACTTCTGCCCATCCATGTACAAATGAAACATTCATATAGTCCAGGGTAAAAGGAAAATATACGTTTTGGTGTCCTATTGCATAGAAGAGTGACTCTAGGCAATAACAATGTACTGTTTGTTTGAAAAATGCTGGAAGAAGGAATTTTTAATGTTTTCATCACAAAGAAATGGTAAATGTTTGAGGAGACAGATATGCTTGCCTGATTTGAATATTATACAAAGTTTACCTGTATTGGAACATCACATACTACCCATTAATATGTATGATTCTTATGCATTAACTAAAACAGGGTTAAACTTAAATTTTTCAATATGCTAAAAAAAGAAGTAAAGACAAAAACAAAAAATTCTGCCTCCTGAGAACTCCATCCATGCATTTTGACATCTCTATAACCTTTCAGGACAAAAAACTCTCAAAATGTTGAGTCCTTGAACATTCAAGAGATATATGAGGCATTTGTGCAGTAGGGTGCTGAAGCTGGTGAAACACGCTTGTGCCCATTTCTTTCTAACTCTACACTCAGTAACTTGACATGAATTCCTTGACATTGGCCATTCCCCATTGTGGGAGCATCAGGAGCATATAGATTGATAAATACTGTCAGTCAGTGTTTTTACTCCTAAAGAGCCTGTTTACTAGCATCATACTGCTGATTCAGTATTCAGGAGGGATTAATTCAGCCACCCAAGAAGGATACCCATTCTGTCTCCAAGTGCTCAGGGAATATGATAAAACCCATGCCAACACTGAAGTTCTTTAGTGAGCTGAGTGGTAGCCAGCTATAATTATCCCTGTCTCCCCCATAGGGCAAAAATGTGTCCTTGGCTCCTAATGCTTTCCTGCTGGTTCTTATACTCACACCCTCAGTGGGAAGCCTAGGGCACAGAAAGGTACTTGAGCATCGTGCATACTTGGTTCGGGTCATGTGGTCCTTCCACTTGCTTAGACTCTCTATATTGCATGAGTTAACTTATGCCATTTTCCTCCATTCTCTTCTCACTACGTTTTAAATTTTTCTAACAAATCTTGCAGTTACGGCACCTAATTTGTCCAGAGACAAAATATGCTTGTGCTAAAGCTTTTGAGATAGTGTACCTTGTGTACAGTGTATCTGTACAAGCACACTCCTCCTAACAGCAGCACACTCCTCTCAACCCTGAGGCTTACAAGGCATCAGGCAAATTTCCCCCAGGATAGGTATATGTGCCTTATTCACCATGTGTGTTTCTAATATTTATCAATGTTGTGTTATGCAGCTATAATTTCTTCATTTTCACTTCTGAATAAAGAATTAGATTAAAGATATTTTGGTTGCCAGCCCCTCATCACCTATTAGACTGTTTTGGTCTTAAGCTTCTACCCTTGAGTAACTAAGCTGCTTAAGTGACTACAAAGTTTCATACCTGTAATAGATATGACCATGTAGCGCCCCCTTAGAGAAAGATGTGTATGTATTTTGCCCTAGAGGCTGGAATACTTGGGCTTTTCTGCTGAGGGTAGGCACCTTTCTGGGAGCTCCTTTTCCAACTTTATGGACTAAGTAATCTTGTCTACCCATGTAGCCTTCTGAGAAGCCCCAGCATCACTTGGTAGACTTTTCCAGTGGCCTTCTATTAGACACTGTGTGGTAGCCATGGGCTTTATACTTTCTGAGCCAGGTTCTTGGGGCCCCTCCACCAGGTCCCCAACCAAACACAAGGAAGCCTTTGTGACTCACAGCCCTGTAGACTTCTGAGATTCTTCTACATATTCAGTTGACCTATTCTGGTTGTTCAATTTCTATACAATAGAAAGGGAGAGAAATGGGAATTACTATTTCTATAAGGTCACTGTCTTCTTTCTAAAACTGGTTAACTTTTCTTTCATGCTTTCTACCTTGGCTTTTCTTGCAATGTATTCTGGGATAACCCCACAGGTTAATAACTCAAGTGTCTAGGTTGGACCCTGCCTTCCTCTATCAATGAATGCAAACACTGATAACAGAGACTAAAACTCTCAGGGTTGTGATGGGCTTTAGATGGGCCTGCTGTTAGGAGAAGTGTGTGTGTGTAGCTTGTTTTGGGGGGCTTGAAGAGTCACTGGATCTTTTGTCTCTTCATCTAGTTACCGAGCGATTTGTCCTTCATTTTCTTACCTAGCACTAACTTTGACAACATCCTATTTGTTAACCACATACTGACCATTATCCACTCTTGCCCAGTATAATTTAGACTTCTTCCTCCAGAATGCACATTTTGGACACATTATTTTGATAGATCATTATCAGAAAATAGTTTTCAGGACAACCAACAGCAATTCCAAAGAAAATCAAATTGAATACTAATAGGAATTCCAATGTGTCAGCCAGAAACTAATATATAAATATGAAGCTGCACAAATGCAAGAAAAATAACAGGGATGAATGCTTTTATAACCATTCCCTATATGACTCAAAATCCAGATGTTATAAAGTAATCAATTTAACTACATGAAAAGACTTTAAATGTCAAAAAACATAAACAAAATCATACATAAATGACAACCTAGGGAAAGATGCTTAAAGTCATGTCACCAACAAAAGACAATCTCCTTACTTGAAATCTATATTTCACTGACATTGATCAGAGGACGAAGAACTATGGAAAGCAGAATCGTCAGAGAGCCTGATGGGAGAATGCTGGGTTACACTGGGCCCAAGGCGACTATGTCTTTACCTGATAAAGAAATGCTGCAGAGTCTGCTTCGTTCATGTGGAGGAGCCCATTTCTGCCAAAGTCCAAAGTGACCCCCAAATCCTGAGCCCTGAAATAAAAATGGTTAGTGATTCTGACATGTGCTGCTATGTAGAAATTCATATTCAGCACAGACTTAGAATGTACTGGCTACCTGGGCTAGACCCTGGACTATTCGAGTGGCAATGAGGGAAACTAGTCCAAGATTAGCAGCCAAAGGGATGCAGAGAGTGAGAAGTGATGATCCCAACAAAGCGACACCAGCCACTTTCCTTGCTCCTACTTTCCCTGCCAGGTATCCCCCGAGGGCCACTGTCAGCAGGATGCCATAGCTGATGGAACTGAAGAGGATGCCTTGGGTCCCAGGACTCCAGTCATACACAGGGGCCTTAAAGAAGCAGAGAAATGCTGTAGTAAACCATATACAGAAAGGCTCTTCTATATCCCAAGAAGCTTCTTTGGATATTTTATTTATTTTCAATTCAGTATTTTTTTAACTAAAACTGTGAACATAGAAACTAAAGAAAAATAAATACCCAAATAAATTAGCAAAAGTACGAGACCAAATTTAAATCTTTTTTTCTTTTTTTAACAATTAATTTTATTGGTACATTTTAGGTAGACAGAATAATGACATTCATCATTGGAAATTTGCGCCTTTACATAATCTCCCTTGGTTCATATTTTTTCCCCCTTCCCCTGCCCTCCCTTCAACCCCTCCATCACCAATTTAAATCTTGTATTACTTACCTTTGCAGGACTACTTGGGGCTTTATCTGGGTCACCTGGTGAGCCTACAGGGAGTGCTTCGGTAGAGTTGTTGAGCTGAGAGTGGTGGTCTGTGCTGTTGACCATGGCTACCATGGTGATATTCAGGATGGTATTCTGTGCAGCCAGTATGAAGTTGAGGAGATGTGCAATGAAGGCTATTCCATAGCGAATGGAACAAAACCTTGGAACTGCAAATATGATACCACATTGATTGTTTTCCTTATTAAGCCAACATTAATCCTTTACAATATGTCAACAGAAAGGTACTGCAGAGCATCACCTGATGACTCAAATGGCACTTTTATTGGTTTCAGGAGAAGGCGATACCAAAGGAGAAGATCACTGAGTTGAAGCAGAAGGCAATTTATACCACAGCCTTACAGAGTACTACTCACTCTGGGACACTGTCTATTTTGCAGTTCTGCTTCCCCCACTCCCAAGTCACTGTTCTATGTGACTGATAAAATTATTCACAAGTAAGAAGAAATTAAACACATATAAAATCTATATTAAAAATAAATATATGCATATATGTATATACATACATTGTCTCTTTCTTGTGTTTTCTTTTCTGCCCTGGCTCTCTCTACTCTTGTCTGCACACCTTTGTCTGGCTCTGTGAACACACCAAATGCTCATTTTCCACGTGCAGGTCTTCCCACAGCTTGTTTCTTCTCTATGGTGTGCTTTGCCCCAACTAGCTGCCTGGCCAGCTCTTGTTAAGGACTTTGACCTTTCTTGTTTTTTATTTTGCACAGTGCTAACATCCTCTGATAACTCTTTGATTTGCTGTTTTGCATTGTGTTTTATGCCTCTTTCTGGAATGTAGGGTCCACTAACCAGTTATATCTGCTGTCTGCTGTTACATACCCTGGGAACTGTAAGTATTTGTTCAGCAATTTATTGAATATAAAACTCTGAACTAGAGGACATGGTTCAGAAGAGGGATCAGCCTAATTCCCTGCTATTTCCTTAATTGAATGGATTTACCTGTCCAGCATAAGCTGCAGAATATGATGAGCTATACTTGCTCAAGGTATTTGCCCAAATTTCTTGATCTATATTCCTTTTCTTCCCACAGGGAGAAAAGTAAGTAAAGTAGAGAGAATTCCAAAGAGCTACTTTGTACGAAGTCCTTCTGTAAAGAAATCTGTGACCAGCTGAATACAAGTTCTTGCCTTACGCGTTTACTCTGGTCTGTGTAAAACCCTTCAACAGCCTCTATCTCTCTCAAAATAAAAGCTGGATTAAGCTGTTGACTGCCATGTGAGAATAGCTTCTACTAAGCAAATGCTGCAAGGCCACCTTAAGGAGCTGAGTAGAAGTTTAAACTTTGGAGCTGTGATAGAGTTTCATCACATCTAATCATGATCTTCAAAGTTCAATTTCTGAATGATTCTATCCTTTAATTTCAACCATAAATGCTGATTTCCCCGTGTTTTGTATTCTTTGGACAAAGCAGGCAGGATCTTGGAAAGGGAGCATGAAGTTTCCACTTTGAAGCTGTCATCTTTCTTGGAAGTGAAAAAATAGATTATTTGAATGCCATGATCATTTTTTCTTCATATATATATATATATATATATATATATATATGGTATTTTGAGGGAGATGGAGGCCTACTGGAGGGTTTTTCATAGAAGTGGGTCAAGATCTGACTGGTCACTCAATTGTAGCTTTGTGAGACCCAGTGAAGGACCAGCCATGTCTGAGATTCTGACTTACAGAAATTGTGATGTAATAAATGTGTGTTTTTTGTGGCTACTACATTTGTGGTAGTATGTTTAGAAGGATAGAAAATGAATACAGTGGCAAAAAGTAATAAGGTACTTGAATGTGTAGTAATTACACAAGGTAAACAATGAAAGACATTTGCATTTTAACGCATTGAAATTTTTCATGAGAAAAAATTGATAAAACATCTTTGTGTTGAGTAATAAGAACAAGAAAACAATCCAAGGTATGCTACAAAAACATCAAAAAGAATCATACAGTATGCAAAGTATGTTGTGGTAATTAATGAGGGGAAGCTAGATTATGTATTTAGTAGTGCTGTGAAAATTGGTTAAATATGTGGAAAAATATTGTTGGAGTAGTATCTTATGTTTTAAGTTAAAATAAAATATAGATATAATATAGTAAAATTGTATTTCATCAAATTGAAAATGCCATTTATTTTTAAGATATAGCATTTTCCACTAAAAATCAACTTATTAACTGAAAAACAGATACAATTAAACAAACTGATTAACAGATTACAAATATCATCCCCAAATTTTCACTCATATTCTAGTCCAACTCATTGGATAGAAATCCAATATTTCCGAACATTTTGCAATTATCCTTGATTTCTTTCTTTCACAGCCAACATCCAATCTGTCTAGAACATACTATTATCTTTGCATTTAAAATTCACGTAGACTCCAACCACTTCTCATCACACCATTACTCTCTTGGTTTAGGGCTCCTTCCTCATGGTTTTAGCTACCAAAATCTCTTGTCTAGATTTTTGCTATTGCTGTCAACTTGGTTCCCTGCTTCCATCTGTTTCCAATACAGCAGTGATAGTGCTATCATCATACCATAAATCAAACCATCCCTTCTTTCGCTCCAAGTCCTCCACACAGTTTCAATTTTGTTCAGATTATAAACCAAAGTCTCCATACAAGTAGCCATTGGAAATATGACGTTTAAACCTTTGCCTCAGATTTTGCATTTTAAATCCCGAGAAAATAATCCAAATGTGGACAAGTGTTGTGTCAAAGAATGTTTTTAGAAAAAAAGAATGCTCTTTTAACATAAAATATGTCACATATAGTTCACACACATAATAGCCAAATAATGTATATATTTCATATATAAATAATAACTAGGTAGCAATACAAATGCCCATGACTTAAATACCCAGTCGCAGTAGAATTTTTCAGGCATATAATACTTTAACAATTGGGAATACTGAAATATAATATGATCTCAAGAATAATGTTTGTTAATTTTATAGAGCACTGTGGAAAAATATGTGGCAAGCTGAAAAAATATACAACATAATATATACAGGGTATAATTATATAAAATATGTATGTAAAATATATGCAATAAAAATTATAGTGGTTGAATTAAATTTATGAAACTTCCATTTCTGAATTTTGGAAGTTTCTACAACTAGCTTTTCTTACCTTGCTTAAGCAACACAATTACAGTTATAATATTATATGCAAATACTACACAATATATATAATATATGTGCAATATATATACAATATACAATATATATACAATACTATGTGTTGACAACCTTTTAGCAATTATTGAGAATGTAAATGTATATGGATAAAGATAAAACAGGTAATTGTCAAAAATAAAAACTATTTTCAGAATAGTGGTATTTATTTTCACACATTTACATTAATGTTACTGGGTTTTAAAAATAATTAAACAACTTAAAAGTTAAAAATTAATTACTTTGTGTTAATACATCATAGAAACAAAATTCAGTACAAAACTTTGGAACCAATCACATGAAGTCAAGTTTACCATTCCTGGGACTGTGTTTCTCGTCCACTTGCAAATGTTGGGAGAACTCTCTGCTCTCTAATGTGGAACTCAACTCTGTTATCACAGCCATTTTGTTTTTCCTTTCTTGGCACCAGCTTTCACCTAACAGGATGATACATAATTCACAGATTTTGATCAAAAGGAAGAAACTCCTTTGAAACATTTCAACAATGGGCATCAAGCAAAGTCCATCCCATTCTATCTGAGGCACAGGGCATGTGGCTCATTCTCATCACTTGGCCCAACACAACAGGTACACTGTTCCTAAGGTTTGGAACTGCTACAGGATTCAGAGTGTTCCCTTGGTGCCAGTTTAAAAGTTCTGGCCTTGAAGTCAGGCATTCCCAAGTTCAAATCCAGACCCATGATTTATCTATTATGCCAACTATCACTGGGAACAACTCTGCATACTTCATTTTCCCCATCTGTTGTTAACAGTGACAACCACAAGGGCTTCTTCACAAAGTCGTAAGGCTTAAATAGATCTCATACTCCCAGCACAGTGTTAGGTAGTAAGTGGTAGCATTATAACTCAGTTTATTGTCATCATCATTGGACCTACCACAGATGTGGGTCACTTTAGGCCTGTGCTTCTTGGTAATTCTCTACCAGTACCTGAGAAGCTGGTTTCTACTGCCCTTGAGGGCTCCTATCTGACTTGATAATTGGGGACCAAGTTTGCATAACAAGATGATTTATAATATAAATCCCACATGGTTATGACTAGAGATTAATAATATGACTACAGAATTCTAGAAATAACTAACATGGAGATCTTGAACTTTTTGCATATAAGAGAACTAAAAAAAAAGTTATTACCCTTATTCAATATTAGGATCTATAACGCTCAGGGAAATTCCTAGGTGGTACTGTGTGTAGAATTACAGTTTTCATGGTGTGTTAAGCATTCAGTTCATTAAATTGATGAACCTCTTAAAGTTTCCTTGTGTCTTTGTGGAATGTCTTCCTGACCATCTTTCAGCATCTCTCCCACCCCTGGCAGCTAATGATCCACTTTTTGTGATGAAGATTAACTTGGTTTGTTAGAGATTTTATAGAAAGTGAAATCACATAACCTGTGCTCACTTTCCTCCTGGCTTATTTCACTCAGTATAATCATTCTGAGATTATCTGTGTTGTATATCTTTTTTTTTTTTTGGTACCGGGGATCGAACTCAGGTCCTTGAGCTTGAGCAGCAGGTGGTGAAACCACTGAGCTAAATCCCCAGCAACATTAATTTATTATTATTATTTTTTTGGTACTGGGGATCAAACTCGGGTCCTTGTGCTTGCGAGGCAGGCGCCAGAACCACTGAGCTAAATCCCCTGCCCAAGTTTTGTATAACTTAATAGTCCATCCATTTTTAGTACTGAGCAATATTCAATTGCTTGATTATCAATTTGCCTTTAGATGAAAAGTTGCATTGTCTGCAGGTTTTGACTCTTACAAATAAAGCCTCTAGGAAAATTTACATATAAGTCTTTGTATAGACATTCCTTTAGATAAATGCCTAGGAATAGAATGTCTTGATCATATAATAAGTGCATGTTTAACTTTCTAGGAAAATAGCAAACTATTTTTCTTTTTTTTTTCTGTACCAGGGATCAAACTTGGGACCTTGCACTTGCAAGGCAGGTGGCAGAACCACTGAGCTAAATCCCCACCCCAGCAAACTATTCTTCAAAGTGGTTGTGCCATTTTATATTCTCCCCAGCAGCAACTAAGACATCCGGATTCCCTATGCACTCATTAAATTGATAACATCTGTCTTTTAACCTACAGAACATAACACTAATTTTGTCATAAAGGGGCATAAACATGGGTGTGTCACATGCACATTTATTCTTTAGAATTTTTCTATTGATGAATTATCAATTTTAATTTTATGGGTTTTATTAAATTAAACAATGAATACTTAACAGAAAAAAATTACAAAAAATAAAATATTGAATTTTTAATATTTATTGAGTATTTATAAAAAAGCATCAAAATTTTCAACACCAACTGTTTTTGGTGTACAAAGTCTAAAAAAGAACAACAGAAATAAATTACTATTGAACTACAATGAAAATACCAATAGCACTCTACAAAAAAAAATCTTTATTTCACTTATCACACCTAAGGCAGTCTTCACACGACAACAGCATATTCCACACACATGTATCACTCACACTGACAGCCCATGTGTTTTGGTTTCCTGGCCTTTTCGTAGGACATACTTGACATCTCACTGGTTTTGTTGTTTTGTCAGGAGGTTATTATATTATACAATGTTTAGTTAACAGGAACATAAAGTATCAATAAATTAAAGTATTAAATTATTC